ATCCAATTTGTATTTATCGGGTTGTAATAATATTAACGATTGATTTAACTAAACTTATTTTTTCGCAAAGCTTTACTTCTAAATACATTCTAAAATAATAAGATTTTTTGGGTCTATGTATGAGTATCTTTTTTATTGGAAGAGATACAAATTGTTAAAAAACTGAAAACCTGTCAAAAAAGATATTTAATACATATAATTATTAAAGGTTGGATTAAAAAACAATAACTCTCCTAATAACTAAAGCCGTTTAAAACTAGTTTTAATGTTAATTTTTTGTTGCACATATTAAAGTGACTTACCTCTGCGTCTTCAGTCAACAATTTAACTTGTACTCCAAATTAAATCCTTTAATTTATTAGAAAACAAAACTAGAACAGCATATTTTATATAAATGTTAATTAAATATCGAAAATTTATGTAGTAGGTTAATTTATTACCGAATTAATTCTCTCAAAAGCAAGCAAGCATTAATTCAGGCAGCTATTTAATGAATAACGTCTATAGTGTTGTGGAATTTTCATTAGAAGAATATTTAAAGTATACATCTTCTCTACTACGTCTCTGCATTTTTTTTTTAAATAAATGACGTTGTTTGTTGCGAAACACTTCTTAAACTCGATCTTTGGGATAGCCTTTAGTTCTTTCAGCGATGCGCTTTTAATGTCATCTATGCTTGCAAAACGACGGCCCTTTAAGGTTCTCGTTATTTTTGGGAATAGGAAAAAGTCAGACAGAGGCATGTCTGGCGAATATGGAGGCTAGGGCATCATTACAGTATTGTTTTTGGACAAAAATTTTGTTCAAAATTTAACAATTTTGGAACAAATTTTGCTGCCACGCGTTTCATACCCAAAACATTCGAAAAAATTTCAGGGGATGAGCCAATCGATATACCAACATCATCAACGACTTCCCTGATGGTTTATAACCATTTCTTCCACTTTTTCCATGTTTTTATCGGTTGATAATGTGCTTCACGGCCATCTTGGAAACTCTTATACCACTTGTATACAAGTGGTATAAGTTTATAAACTCTTGTTTTACTTATAGCAGACTCACTATAGGCCTTTGTTAACATTTCACAGAATGTATTTTATTTTTTAAGCAAAATTGGATACAAATTCTAACGTCTAACCTTAGCGGCTGCCACAGACAAAGTAAACAATGAAAACAGCTAAAGATTTTATCATACTTCGGGAGCATGTATACCAACATAATAAAGAAAATTTTTTGACAACCCGACCCTCTGAACCCGCGAAATTTAACAATTCCCGTTATTTTCTGAACACACCTCGTACATATTTAATAATAAGAGTATAAGAAGCTAAGACCTTGTATCTTATTTAAATTACTGGGAATCTACCTACTACCTACATATTATAGTAGCTGTAAATCTGCATTTGTATAAAACTATATATTTTTTTGAAATACCAAAAGTATCACAAAAAAAATTTTACTATAACAACTGCGCATTACTTTATATAAGCGCAATTCACACCCAACTATAGATTTGACAAAAACATTATTATTTTTACTTTTTTGATTTATGAATATTCGATTGGGAGGAGTTAAAGGCGCATGTAAAAAAATTTAAATAACCCGGAAAACATGTGCGGCACGTGAATACATTACGCAAGCAGCCTGCTCGTCGTTTTGTTCGCGCGGGGTAAAACATAGAGTGCCCTGGGAGCAACATAATAAATTGCCTAATAACCGCAGCAGATGAAAATTTTCCACTTTATTGTTTACATGATTTATTTAGTTCCGAAGCAGGGATTAATGCCAAACCAAACAGTCAACAAGTTTTAAGTATTATGTAAATATTAATACATTCCCAGCTTTAATTTATTTCTTGATAAACAAAAGAAAATGTTTTGTATTTTTATATTTGATATAATCCTAACACATACAGGGTGATAACGGATTCATTAGAGGTTTATACACAGTAAAAAAAATCAACTCTAAGCAACACTAATTAGAGTTCACACAGGTCCACACTAAATAGTGTTGTTTTATAACACTACAATTAGAGTTAATTTGTAGTGTAATTTTCCCCAAGTAAGCAAGTATGATTTAACACTATAGCACTGAGGATAAAGTAATTTTACACTGTATTAAAAAGTGTTAATTTACCTAAAATCGTGTACTTCTACACTTCCTGGGTAAAATCCCACTTTTGTTCAGTGTAAATTAACACTACTTTGGAAAAGTTCTAATTTTAGAAAGGTACTTTTACTCTTTTAGTGCACATGTATTTGAATAAAACCTATTGGTGGTAGTGAAACATTTATTTGGAACAAAAATCTATAACAATTATCAAAATCGGTGCCTTTTAAAATATAATTTTATATTCGAGTCGTATGGCTGGCTTAAGCAAAATGGTTCCTTAAAACGTAAAAGTTTTAGATCAATGCAATGTTTTACTGGCTGTCAACTTGTAAGCAATGATTATCTTGAGAATTGATCAGTAATCCATTTTTCTGTTATAAAAAATGGGTGATCCCATTGGTAGAGAGGCGTCAGGCGGCTCTATGTCGGGGATTTACCATACGTGTACAAATTTTCCATAATATTACTAAAAATGTAGGTATAGGTTAATATAACAACCATTACGCTTGAAAATAAAAAGTAAATCAAGTGTGTAATACACACTGTGTATGTATTTATTTTATTCATTTTTCAAGTACCCGACCTACTGCCGTAAATTATTGATATATAATGTAGGTCGGGTATGGACATCCTTTTAACATATTGGTATTTATTGAGTATTAAGGCTTAAAGAAAAAGGAAGTATAATACTTACCAAAAAAATAAGAATGTCCCCTTATGGATTCACCGTAATTAAAATCTAACTGAACAAAAATGCCACACTTCCACAACGCGTTATCTCCGGATATGCACTGCGTAGGTAGATAGGTACCAACCAAATATTTTAAAACGCATTTCGGTTATTACCAGTTTTTTCAGTCTATTTTGCCACTATTGGTGTAATTTAACTTTAATCGTGATACAATTTGCACTAGTAGTGTAAAGAAAAAAGAGCTCTTAGTAACATCAAAACAGACAAAGAAATTGGCATGCACTGTAGTGTACATTTTGTCACTATTTAACACAATAAGGGGTAATAAACACTGGCATTAAGTTTTTCTACCCTTTTGATTTATTTTAATAATAAATAGTGCGAATGTACCAATGAATAATGTTCATATTCTTTAAATGTGTTTAATAAAGTTAATAAGCACTAAATGCTACCTAGTGTATTTTGTAGAGTAACTTTTACACTTACAAATCAACTCTAAAATTTTTACCCCTACACTAAAAAATTTACAAGGGCAAATTTTTTTACTGTATACAGTAGTTAAATAAAAAAACAAAAATAGGACTTTTTTAAATTACAATTCCATGAAATAAAATAATTTGCCGCAGTGACACGTTAAAATTAAGCGGATTTGTAACGTTAAGAGAAACGCAGAATGAATAAATAACATTTAAGTGCAGTCATTAATTTTCAAAATCGCGAAATGCTTTTGATGGAATTAAATAATCTTTGTTTAAGCTAATCACTACTTTTACTGCAAAAAAATGCCATTTGTTGTCCTATTTAAATGCTTTTTAAAAGAGATATGGAGACTGTCATAATAAATTTACAATAAGGCTAGTATTACTATAGTACTAACCTATGGTTAACATAAAAATAATTAAAATAGGCGTATTGATCTTTTAATTTAAACCCAATTTGATAGGAGTTAAAGTAATGACAAACATTACTTTGTTGTCTAAAAATTATATATATTTTTTAATTTTCAGTCTTTATTATTTTAGCATTTACAATTTGCAAAAGTTTAATTTTAACTGTTTCAGAAACTATGTTATGCAGTTCTGACCAAACCGTTATCAATAAAACAAAAAGGGGTCAAACCCTGAATACCCTGCCCAAAATTTTTTTGTCCCATCCTAAAAGTGTCAAAGTGTGGGTCCTTTCCCTAATTCGATTTACGTTTCAAATAAATAATTAAAGGTTATTTAATTCGACGTCTAACGTATTATCTTTTACAAATCAATAGGGTGGCCCAAACAACTATTTTTGTTTCGAGTGTCCTATAACAATTTGTTAGGCAATCATAGTTTAAGAGCTCTATCCAAAAATCAGCTTAATTAAACTTTTTTACTATAATACTCATACTCTCATACGATTCTGCAATAATTTTTCTATAAAAATATCACTTTTTTGGTAATAATTAGTACCCACGTTTTTTTAACTAATATTTAAGTTTCCTTTGGTTTAAGTTTTTTATACATTATTTCATTCGGTGATAATTATCAATTGCGCACCATGGTCACTTTTTACCTGCCAGCATTAAATCCTTTAATTTAAAGGATTATTGTACTATTTTTAATAAAAATACCTCATTTGAGGTAAAAAAAACATTATTTCGTCAATTAATTAATTTAATCCTAACTGAGGTATAAAAAATGCTATTTAGTTAAAAATAATAATTATTATTGACTATATTGACTATATTGACTTTATTTAATCAATTTAGTTCGAAGATTATTTGCAAACAGCAGTTTTTAATAATGGATTTTTTAACAGTGGAAGAAAAAATAGAAATGATTTTGATTTATGGAGAAGCAGGCGGGAATCTTGATGATGCTGTTAATATCTACGCTCAGCGTTTTCCGGATAAAATTCGATCACGTACTTCATTTCACCGTACAGTCAAGCAGTTTACTACAAACGGGAGTGTTCAACCGAAAAAAAGAGTTCGTCGAGCAACAGTCACAGGTGGAAATAATGAAATTAATGTATATTATAAATTTAGAAAATTCCAAAAATAGACCAAATGCTATTTTTTTGGTTTAATTTTTCTAGGTCGTGGTTTTTTTGTTCAATATGATAAGAATTAAAAGTAAAATAAAGAAACTGTATTTCATAAGAAATAAAGGACTGTATGCGACCAAAAATTTTATTTATAATAAAAAAACATTATTTTAGTTTACAAAACTAGCTTAGCTTTGCAAGTTTGATACTTGGACCAGAAAGGTTCTGGTAACTTCTCTTTGCATCCATATCCTCCCAAGAAATGTACCAGCATCAAATCGTCGCAGGTAATTTTACCGTCTCCATCGCAATCTTGTTGGAACCTTTGAACGTAGTTGGCAACACTGTTGGAGGAGCATTCGAAGTCATTGGCGCAACTTTCGAAGCTGGCCGACCTGAATTTGCCATTTAGAGCTGTGATAAGAAAAATTTGGCATTAAAATTATTCATAATTTTGATATGGGTGAATATATTGAGATTGAGAATTTTTTTCTCCACTAATGCAAGAATTTTAAGAAATCACACATTTTGAATATTAGAAGGTTAGGATTTCGTATGTTTTTTTAAACATCCCTTTGTATATTTGAAATAAGTTATTGTATCTTTTGACACCTTAATATTGTTTAAAAATACAATTGTACTATGCTCCACACCTCAAAGTCCCACCACGTGACCACGTACGGAACGCAGTCTTTTGAAAATTTGGCATTTAAGGCTTTTTAGGTTATGTATCTGTCAAAGTATAGTCAATGAAAGAAATAATATTTATAGTGTTACCGCTTATGTTTAAGCGTTAAAAGTAAATAAATCTTTATAGTATCACAATAACAATGGTTAGTTTTAAAATTTAGGAATATAAATACTGCATTTAATGAAATTCCAAAGTGTAAGGTGCAATATAAGTGATATTTTTGTGCATTGGGTCTACATTTCTCCATAAAATAGTTTTAACTAAACAGCATTTATTTAAAAAAAATCTAACTTCTCTATTATGAAATAAGAATATCTGTATCAAAGGTAGGTTAATGTATTAGAACAAAAAATATAATCTAATTTTGTATTTTAAGGTTAGAAAAATCATAAGTCATAAATAAATATCGGTATAGGTACTAAATAATTGTTGAATATAGTTCAAATTAAATTGAAGCTTTTATACTTCTAACGACAAAACTTGTGCATACCTCTCGGCATACTTACTTTAAGTTAGATTATAAGAAAACAAACAATTTTTAGAGAAACTTGCAATGTGAAAATATTTAATACTCCTATGACATGTGAATTATAATGATTTTTTGATGTAGATCAAATTCAGTCGAAGCTTTTTAACTATTTGTATTGAAAAAAAATTTTTTTTTGGTACACTTTAAGCTGGATAAGAAAAACTTCCACATTTTTAAATACCATATTATACAGTCTTTTAAATAATCCAAAATACTTATTTATTTTGGTCAAAATAAATTTTTCTAACCTTAAAATTACAAAATTAGATGATATTTTTGTTATAATATATTAACCTACCTTTAATACAAATATTCTTATTTCATAATAGAAAAGCTAGATTTTTTTAAATAAATGCTGTTTAGTTAAAATTATTTTATGGAGAAAACCAGATATATATTTGGACCAAATGCACAAAAATATTACTTAATAATATTATTTCTCTCGTTGACTATACTTTGACAGATACATAACCTGAAAAGCCTTAAATGCCAAATTGTCAAAAGACTGCGTTCCGTACGTGGTCACGTGGTGGGACTTTGAGGTGTGGAGCATAGTACATACATAAAATATTTATAAAAAAGGTTTTTAAATAGCAAATTAATGAACTTAAACTTTTGACTTGTAAAACAGCAACATTCTCATCTGCAAATAAATTTCAACTGACCTTCAGGAACCACATGCATCTATAATGTCGTAAACAGAGGTTTTTGCTTATTTAAAATGATTAAAGCGCCATCCGTTGCATACAATTTAAAGAAAAAACAGGTTCACGGAGGATAGAATCAATTTGTGTAACACCTACATAAATGGTTAATTTTTCACCCATATACAGAACTCGCGCCACAGATAAAAATAGAGTTCTGGGAAAGAAAAAAAAATATTATTTTACCTGAATCGGACCAGTATGCCCAGGTGATACTGTAAGGTCCGCAAATATTGCCTGAACACCCCCTGTTTACGCACCCTGTAGCAGCATCACAGATACAGGCCATACATTTTTCAATGTCTACAATGGGAGCTACTGGAGCTACTGGAGCTACTGGAGCCAGTGGAGCAGCTGGAGAAAGGAGTTGCGCGTATGGTATTGGAGCTATAGCTTCTGCTGTAGCAGGTTGAACAGCAGCAAACGCACCTTCTTGAAGTATTTGTGCGTATGACGCACTGAGAACACAAACAAGCACAAGTAAATTAAACATGTTGGATTGAATGAAGTTTAAAAAAGTAATAGAGGTATATATACCACGTATGAATTGATAGGCTTGGTAATTTTTTCCATTAGGATAAGTTGTATTAGATTGGGTTTTAATTGTTTTTTGAGAAATGTTACAATTATAAGAATCTTATCTAAGTAAACGACAACGTTTTAAAATAAATGTTCTACGTAATTAATACCTATAAATTGTCTGGTATTTTTCAATATTTTTTTAGGATTTTTTTATTATCTCTGTTTTTACATTTAAAGTACCTACTTTTGTTTTTTTTAATGAACGCAACAATTCTAGATTTTTATAATTTAGTTTATATAAAATATTATATTTTTGGAATCATAAAACATTGTTTAAAAGATTCAATGTCAATTATTTTATATTTTTTTCTACTCCCACCTTTAAAACGCCCTTTATCGTACATGTTTCCATGACACCACCTTTTAAATACACATTGACAAGTTGTGGCTTCATGGCACTTTAGTCACGGGCTGAAGTTAGCAACAGGTTTTTAGTCACGGGCTGAAGTTAGTTTTAAGTTAGTTAATCGTTAAAATAAAGTGCCTTTCTTGTAAAATAATACTAAATGTGAAAATTATTTTATTATCTCAATACAAAAATACAAAAGTATTAAATAGTTTCTCAACGCCAATATTTGAAAAGTTTATATGAACATTGTACTGACCTTTTAATTTCGCCGGCAGTAAACTATATCTTAAATTCGGGCACGGACTCCACTGTAAAGTCCTCATAAAACATTTTCTGTACTTTCACTGTGAAAAACTGTCAATTTTTAAGAAATACATTTCGATTTATGACCTTTATAATCTGTGTTTATAAAATGTAAAAATGTGACATTTGACGGTGACCCTATTGTTTCATAGATGGCGCTCTGTACAAATTTTTGATTTAAATCATTTTTAGATAATAATAAGTATTTGTCGTAGAAAAAGTATAGTATGCATATCGTTTATAAACTTTTCTATACACTCAATAATTTAAGCACTCGCTCGCAAGCTCGCTCGTGTATTCGTGTATAAAATGGCGTTTATCAAACTTGATACATAATATACCATTGTAATTTAAATGTTACACCCTGTAAGTTTTTACATAATCAAATAGTAAATTAAAAACTTTTCGGTCAACGGTTACCACGTAATCTGTCATTGGTCAAAATTTAATGACGTCAGGTTTCAGGTTGTTATAAACAATATCTTGACTAATTAAGTGTTTTGTAAACACAACTACTGGTAAAAAATAGCAGTCAGTGACTTATGAAAAATATAGGCAAGCCAAAAATGTTTAAAATTTAAAAGTAATACAAACAGAATTTGGGAAATATTTTTTAATTTAATTATGTAAAAACATACAGGATGTTACATTTAAAATATAAAGTTATTAACATTTTAAGTTAGCCTAATTTGCCATGTTTTTTCTCAAGTAATTTGTTAAGATTTGTTAAAGAATTTACATGAAATATAGAAATATTTATTTTCAATTTTTCGAGGAAAAGTCATTTTCCATTATTTCTTTTGCTTGTTATATAAATACGATTCGCGTTGAGAAACATCCATTTTGTTGTACAGGGTGAGCAAAAATGCTGATTTTCCAAATTAATAATTTTTAAATATTTTTTGAAGCGCTAATATAAAGAGCTGGTAAGAAGAAATCATATGTTTTTGAGACTAAGATAATTGATATTGAAAATTTAAGATTTTAGTTTTCAAATTTTAATAAATAATTGTAGACATTCAGTTGAAAGCAACAACCTTGATTCATAATCACAAAATGAGATAGCAGTCAATTTCTACAAAATAATAGGACCACTTAAGTTAGGACTAAATTGATTTTATAACAATAACAACAGCCCACAGGAAAAAACTTTATTTGGCTTCTCCTTACAAGCTCTTCATATTACACCTTCAAAAAAATATTTAACAATTTTTAATTTATGAGAAGTGACTTTTCTTCGAACAATTAAAAATAAGTAAATTTCAAATCGATATCTTTTGCCGTTTCCCAGAAACTTCTAATGGACCACGATCGTGAAACACCCTGTATATTTTTTAATTATCTTTTTGTGCTTTTATGTTTAAAAGGTATGCAAATTTATCACCACACATTTAAACGTATTTTAAACATAATCAGACTTAAAATCTTCCTAAAATTTATTTTTATAGTCGCTGTTTTTTTAGCACAAATATGCAAATGCTTAGCTCGAAAATGTATGTAAATTCTTTTGGTAATGCGCGTAACGCAAATTGCATTCTATCTCTAATTTATATTTAGCTTCCTGTATCTCATTATGTCTTTCTGCTTTAAATAAATCTGAATGAATTTCGCCAAGAAAATCTCTCGTTTCGCCTCAAAGTCAAATATAAGGGAATCTCGAATAGATTAGGATCTTTTGTGTCCCAGTGCGCCGCAGTCGCTATTGCCGCAAAATATTTAGTCCAAAATGCTTTTTCGCGTCTATTAGAACCATTCCCTGCTTGCTTTTTCATAATCAGGCAAATTTCAATGCCGCCCTTCTCAAGAAACTGAAAACTCAGTGTCGGGTAGTTTTACAAAAAATATTTATGATCAAAAATATAATTACTTTTGCAAAGCATTCCTCATCGTATTTATCAAACATTAATTATTATTTATCATTAATGAACACCACAACAGTTGCCGGTAAATTCCTAACAAAATATTCCACAATATGCATTGGCGTCCCGTCTCATGGCAACAATTTTCCAATTTCACTCATTAAATCCACAACGAACATCTCCAAATTCCCGCAGAATCCCGACTGAATGCACTCGACGTTGTATTCCCTCATGAGGGCCACCTCGTTCCAATAAATGTTACCCCGACCGCGAACCAATGAGGTCGAGATTGAGACCTTATCAGCTATCGCTTTAAAAAGCAGAGCTTTTTCGCAGTGAAAGCCCAACCTAAGGAAGCCTATGGGTATTATGTTGTTGCCCAGTTTTTCTTTCAAAGCTTGAATGTGGAACTTAAAAGTGTGCAGTTTTTGCGATGGTATGTGGTCCTCTTTCGGACCACAAAGTAAAGTATCCACATATTCAGCTAGTAGTCTAACTTTATGGCTTAAGCATGTATCTTCGGTGAAGTATTGTTGTATGTGGTTTATGTACCTGGGCAAAAACGGATCGTTTGAAATGTGCCCATAGTCTATAGTGTAATCAGACACCGTTTTCACCAACTCTACAGTTGTAATGCTTCCTTCCTGCTTGTCGCTTTCATCAAACAAGCTTTCATTACTATCAACCATATCGAAATGTTTAGCAGGAGAATAATTCACCACATACACGGTATTTCTAGGACACTTCGCTTGTGCTTCGTATATCTCCAAAAAAGGTATATCATACGACCAATTCGCTGTGACAACATAAAACCTATCCTTGAGTTTATCCATTACATCCAGTCTACCCAACTCGAAGAACTTCACAGGCAAATACAAGGTGTAAATTAACTTTAAGATTTGATCAGCTAACGGTGTTTTAACGGCGATATGTTGTGGTAATCCTTTCAACACAGCTAACATTTTATTGTGTAAAAAGGCCACAGCCACGTTTTTATAAATCAAAATGCTATGAATGAAAACCAAAAGAGCCTTAATATAATCCAAGCATGTAGCATTTTGCAGCACCTCCAAAATATACGCTGGACCACTTGAAGTCAGGAAAAAGTCTCTGAATGGCTCCAAAGGAACGAAATTCGTTACGATTTCTACGGCAGCCGCTCTTACATCCGCATAAGTGTTGCTTAAATGCGATAAAATTAATTTGAAAATGTCATCGTTTATTATCGCCTTTTTATGTTCAGGGTGGACTGAAACCATGTTTAAAATATGCAGAACCCTAGAAAACGAATCTTCGCTTAAAGCTGGCGTTCCTTTTTGAAGATACTTTAGAATCACTGGCAAACCATCGTATTCCGCTAACATTTGCGTAGCGATCACATAATTTCTTACAACAAAATCGTGAAGTGTCTTTAATGCTACCTCATTTTCTGGATCTTCAGGATCGTATTCTCTTCGAAGCCTTTGGCAGCAGTAAGTGTGTTCTGTCATGTTCGAGATAGCTTTACATGTATAATTGAGAACCTACAATATCCAATTTTATAAATCTCAAAATTGTAACTTATAAGGTATCCCTCCAGAAATTCTGCTGGTCGTGTCTGTTTAGCAGCAGAATTTCTAGGCACCTTTTATAATATAGGTACCTTTTTATCCTTGCTCCTCAAAAACTTCAGAATAGACTCCTTAACCGACAGATCAAATAAAATTTGTCTCAAATCAGGTAAAAGAGTCAACTGATAAAAAATGCTGACGCACAAAAGCATGTACTCTGAACTGCATTTTTTCACCCACTGGCAAAATTTAATAAACTCCAAAGTGTCGACAAAATAAGCGTTAGTTTCATCGCAATCCATGCAGTTGGATAAAATTCTGAAAGCCTTATTGTGATGTAATTTCAACCCCTCATCCATGATAATGTTGAGCATTTTCTCGACTAAATGCTGCTCCCTAAACATTTTCTGTATTGCTTCAATTTGAAAGTAAGTTAACTTTCTAATTATTTCCAACGATTTGTTTTGAATGTCTGTATCATAATGGTCGATATACTTCATTATGAGTTCAACTTTAAAGACTTTTATGTCAGCGAGAATCCCTATGGCTGCCGGTGCATCCAGCAAAATATAAAGCAAATCCAAAGTGTTTTTAATCAATTCAACCTTCTCGCTTTTTCCAACGTCTCAAAAATTGGCGTGAATAAATCCGCTTTGAATATCAAAGTTGTTATTCTATTGGAGGTGGCAAGTCGGGACAATATTGGAAAGCAAAATTGCTTGACGAATTCGTCTGGATGAGAGGTGTACATACTGCTGATTTTCAATATTTGTTCATCGTATATATCCTGGTCCAATTCGAAAACCGTGGCATCCATTCTGAGCAAAATCCCCAGCAATCTTAACGACATCCTTAGTATGCACACGTTTCTCTTCAGAAGGCTCAAAATTTTACACGCAAGACCGTTTTTCTGAAGTTTCACAAGGTTTTCTTCCTTGAGGTCTCCATATTTCGATAGGAAAAGCAAGGATTCAAAAACCACAGCGTTTTCCCGACTTTCCAGAAGACTTATGGAAGTTTCCACCTCCTTGGTGAGGTAGGTCTTATCTGATATGGCATCTTCTTTTTTCGTTATTAAATCGGAGTTTTTATCTTTTTTTGTATTACTAGTTTTTAAAGTCATTTTGATTAAACGTTTTTATCATGACTAAAAAATTTGCTACGCCATTGTGTTTAAGAGGAGCCAATTTAACAACAGCGCGTTAAAGTAGAAGAAGCCACTTCTAAAACATTTTCTTTTAAGGGTTTTGCTTTTAAAGTGACATTGCTTAATTTTCAACTAAATGTATTCTCTGCATACCCCAAAATTGTTAGGCATTGACCTCGTTAAACGTAATGGGACGTTTTATGGAAGAAACATGTTTTAATTCGGCCATGGAATATTTGAAAAGTAAAACAAATTGTGTAGTCAATAAAAAATGTTCATTCTTGGAATAACATTTAAATTTTTGCGAGCTTAACATATGAATTCATCGTGTGGCCCCGTTTTAAAAAGTAATAAATCATATGCAAATGTGTACCTAGATGTTGGAGAATGGAGGAAGGCGGCTGGCGGTAGCGGGAAATTGGAATATTCTCATATTTGAAAATCAATTTATGTTAATGTGATTAGGAATTTCCTGTTCGCAGTTGGCGCTGTTTAAATAAAACAATATGCGACCTACTATGATTTTCTGTATCTACTTATTTCATTTATTTATGTCAAGTATGAACAAAAAGTTTTAAACATGGATTACTTAATAATAATAATAATAATTTATTCATCAGTAAAACAAAATTACAAAGTAAATTTTGCATATATCACACAAAAATAAGTAAAAATAATGACACTTAATATTAAATACTATAACATATACAAGAATAAAATTTAATGATAGAATTAAAAATAATCCTTAAAAAATTCTTCAACAGAATAGTACATTTTATTTAAAAAAATAGTTTGTAATTTTTTCTTTAAAATATTTTTACAAGATAAAATATGATTATGACATTTTATTCCCTGATAAGCAAAGGCTTGAGAGACTGACAATCTGGAATAAGGCAAATATAGGTTTTTATTACCTCTTGTACCATAACTATGCATATCCTTTGTTTGTATAAATAAACCTTTATTTTCTTCAATGTAGGTAATTAAATTGTAAATAAATAAACAGGGTAGTGTTAAAAATGAATATTTTTTAAATAACGGTTTACACGAATATGATGGACTTTTACTATCTAGACATCTGATAAGTTTTTTTTGTAATAAAAATACTCTTTCAAAGTGAGCTGAAACACCCCAAAAAATAATACCATATGACAATATAGATTGAATTACGCCAAAATACATTAATCTCAATACAGGAAAGGACACTATGTCTCTGAGAGACCTTATTAAAAAACTTAAGGAGCTTAATCTTTTACATAAAGAATTTATATGTGGTTCCCAAGTCAATTTTGGGTCCAATGTTATCCCTAAGAATTTTACTGTATCGCAGGCTGGAATTGATGAACTATTAATGTTTATGTATATGCTAGAATCAAGCCTTGCATTTTTTGAAAAAAATTGCATAAAGTTTGTTTTATTAACATTTAAAAGTAATCCATTTTGTTGACACCATTTACTAAACTGATTTGACACCAAGGAAGAGTTTGTGGAAAGATTTTTCACTTCTTTATCCATAAGCAAAACATTTGTATCATCAGCATACAATACAAATGTAGCATGTTCATTAAATGAGACAGATATGTCATTAATAAACATAACAAAAAACAAAGGCCCCAGAATTGACCCCTGTGGAACCCCAAGTAAGACTTTTTCACACCTTGAAAGTGCATTTTTTAAAAAAACAATCTGAGTTCTGAGATATAGCAAAATACTACACACTTTTTAATAAATATAACAAAAAAAGTAGTTTGTCTTAATAAAGTATAGATCCCTATTCGTCCAACAATTGCTTTTATTTATTATTTATCCACAAACGCTGCTTTCAGTAATAGCATTTGCATTAATTATAAAGTAAATTTACGTTATTTTTATAAAAATAACACTCTTCCAGATGCAGAAATGCATTGATAAATGTAGTTATTATTATTTGTCCAAAAAAAAAACAGTTCTATACCGTTTACAAAAACTTTTTGTAGTATTAATGAAACCCTAATGGTATTATTCATAGAAATTTTGTACATTTTACAAATATCTCTTCGTTTAAAATAAAACTTTTTTTATAATATTAATAAAATTTTTGTAAATTTAACAACAAATTAATTGTTAATTAATAAACTATTTTCATTGCAACAATGGTCACATTTTCAACCTACTGTTGGGTGTTGGGTAGTCTTTTTTAAATAATTGCAAGGCATTAAAACAAATTATTTATTATAACAAAAAAATTTACTAATATTGTATGAAGTACAAACTAAAAAAAATATGAACTCACTTTTTAAACAACAAGTCTGCTTCGTTTATAGAATAGACCTTAAATATTTCTTTTTTTGAAAACGTCGAAATTTTAATTTTCTAGTGATCTTTTTGATATTTTTATCATGCTAGATTTTACCACACTTCACTCGCACAAGTGAAATCAATAAGATTATTACACAGACTGTGGATTATAAAGTTATGTTCACCAAGAGCGCTGGCCCTTTCCCCCTCTTTTTAAGGGAAATAACAAAAATGTCGTTATTATTGCAAAACAATAGTAAATATTAAAAAAGTCTTTTTATAGCAATAAAATATTTTTGTTATTGTTCTTAACGTAAGCTATAAACAAGATTTTCTAACTGAAATAAAATTAATTTGAATTAAAACGATAATAATTTAAAAAAGACAAATATGCCATAGTAAAACGAACAAATTTTACTATAACAACTGCGCATTACTTTATGTAAGCGCAATTTGCACACAACTATAGATTTAACAAAAATATTTTAAGTTCGACAAATATTTAATATAAACATAAAGTATTTCTTATTGCCATGACAATTTGATAACAACTATTACTTTGTTGGATGAACATTTTTTTTATAAAAGTTCAACATTGCTGCTTCATTATAGTAAATGAGAATTTTATTAACAGTAAAAAAAGTTTATTCTGTAAATAAAAATATTCTCATTACTTTGACAAATCGTAGGTTTTTGTCCGAATAAGACACTGAAAATTTAATAAAAGCCATTACAATTTCAAATTTGTGCATGTAATATTAAATTTAAACTAAATAATAGATCTTTGAAAGTGCCTATTTATTTTTCTAAGCTTATAAACGCGCCCTTGTGAATTTTAGCTGGAAGAGACTAAAACTGGTCCGCCCATTCTTTGCCAATAATTTACAGTAGCTCCAACGCTAACTGTCCGCAATATATTTCAGTGGTTTCAGTTACACCGCATCGACATTTTCTACGTTTAAAACAAAAAATAAAGCGAATTTATCCACACTATCATGTGGTTCATTATGTTAATCTCAAATGTAATATACAGGGTATTTCTTTTAACTTGAGACAGCTCAATATCTCGAGAAATACGCATTTCACGGAAAAATGTCTTAAATAAAAGGTTAATGTGACTAAAGGGGACATTATTTGGTGCTACCGCTAGCCACCCCCTACCCCTCCTTAAGGGTGAAACGGGGGGTAACTTTGGAAAGTCCAATGGGATGACCCGATTTTTTTCACAGAGTTTGGTAGTACATAAAAAAATAAATAACTTTTATTTAAAACTTTTTTCAATTTATCAACAGATGGCGCTGTAATTCAAAATTTAAGAAAAATGAGTTTCCTTGTAAAATGTATTATTTGAAGCGTTTGAAAAACAAAAATTAACATTAACAACAATAGTCGGTTATGAAAACAATTTATAACAAATGTTCGAAATGTCGTCATTTCATTTCAACACATTTTTGAATGCGGGTAATGAATTCTGGCACACAACGCGCCAACATATCGGGCGGTATCGCCGCACAGGCGTTCCTGATCCGCTCCACCATGTCCTCCCAAGTTGTAGGAATTGCAGCGTAAACTTTTTCTTTCAAGTAACCCCACTGGAAGAAGTCTGGTGCCGTAAGATCAGGTCGAGATCGAGCAGGCCAAATTACTGGACCACGTCTACCGATCCACCGCGGTGCACCGGCCATTGAACTCCCGATCCAACACCTCTCGAGCAATTGTCGAATAATGTGCAGGACATCCATCTTGCTGGTACCACATGTTTTGGAGCCGTGCTAGTGGTACATCCTCCAAAAGGTCCGTCAGATCGTTTTCTAGAAAATTCGGGTACTTTTCGCCATTTAATGCACCGTCAATAAAGAAGGGTCCGATCGCTTAAGGTACCGCACCAAACGTTTACCGACCAGGGACGCTGGTGCTCCACTTGGTGTCGAAATGGAAGGACGACATTTCGAACATTTGTTATAAATTGTTTTCAGAGCCGACTATTGTTGATCTAATCTTAATTTTTGTTTTTCAAACGTTTCAAATAATACATTTTACAAGGAAACCCCTTTTTCTTAAATTTTGAATTACAGCACCATCTGTTGATAAATTGAAAAAAACTTTCAAATAAAAGTTATTTATTTTTTATGTACCTACTACCAAACTCTGTGAAAAAAATCGGGTCATTCCATTTGACTTTCCAAAGTTACCCCCCGTTTCACCCTTAAGGAGGGGTAGGGGGTGGCTAGCGGTAGCACCAAATAATGTCCCCTTTGGTCACATTAACCTTTTATTTAAGACATTTTTCCGTGAAATGCGTATTTCTCGAGATATTGAGCTGTCTCAAGTTAAAAGAAACACCCTGTATATTACATTTGAGATTAAAATAATGAACCACATGATATTAAAAAATATACACAGGGAGATTCACCTAACAAATCTTTTTATCCAAATAACTTTATCCAGATGTGAGCATACTTAAAACTGGAACTCATTTTTCATGTACGGGTACAATTCAGTCTTACTAACATTTAAACACTTAGTATCATAGTGACATACTTTTTGTCAAAATGACTTCCAAAACTAGTAAATCAAAAAAAGATAAAAACTCGGATTTGATAACGAAAAAAGAAGATGCCATATCGGATAAGACCTACCTCACCAAGGAGGTGGAAACTTCCATAAGTCTCCTGGAAAGTCGGGAAAACGCTGTGGTTTTTGAATCTCTGCTTTTCCTATCGAAATATGGAGACCTCAAGGAAGAAAACCTTGTGAAACTTCAGAAAAACGGTCTTGCGTGTAAAATTTTGAGCCTTCTGAAGAGAAACGTTTGCATACTGAGGATGTCGTTAAGATTGCTGGGGATTTTGCTTAGAATTGATGCCACGGTTTTCGAATTGGACCAGGATATATACGATGAACAAATATTGGAAATCAGCAGTATGTACACCTCTCATCCAGATGAATTCGTCAAGCAGTTTTGCTTTCCAATATTGTCCCGACTTGCCACCTCCAATAGAATAACAACTTTGATATTCAAAGCGGATCTATTCACGCCAATTTTTGAGACGTTGGAAAAAAGCGATAAGGTTGAATTGATTAAAAACACTTTGGATTTGCTTTATATTTTGCTGGATGCACCGGCAGCCATAGGGATTCTCGCTGACATAAAAGTCTTTAAAGTTGAACTTATAATGAAGTATATCGACCATTATGATACAGACATTCAAAACAAATCGTTGGAAATAATTAGAAAGTTAACTTACTTTCAAATTGAAGCAATACAGAAAATGTTTAGGGAGCAACATTTAGTCGAGAAAATGCTCAACATTATCATGGATGAGGAGTTAAAATTACATCACAATAAGGCTTTCAGTATTTTATCCAACTGCATGGATTGCGATGAAACTAACGCTTATTTTGTCGACACTTTGGAGTTTATTAAATTTTGCCAGTGGGTGAAAAAATGCGGTTCAGAGTACATGCTTTTGTGCGTCAGCATTTTTTATCAGTTGACTCTTTTACCTGATTTGAGACAAATTTTATTTGATCTGTCGGTTGAGGAATCTATTCTGATGTTTTTGAGGAGCAAGGATAAAAAGGTACCTATATTATTTAAGGTGCCTAGAAATTCTGCTGATAGACAGACAAGACCAGCAGAATTTCTGGACGGATATTTTATAAGTTACAACTTGGGGATTTATAAAATTGCATATTGTAGGTTCTCAATTATACATGTAAAGCTATCTCGAACATGACAGAACACACTTACTGCTGCCAAAGGATGTTAACACCAATTGTCTTCAAGGAAATCCTCGGTATTCTTCGAAGAGAATACGATCCTGAAGATCCAGAAAATGAGGTAGCATTAAAGACACTTCACGATTTTGTTGTAAGAAATTATGTGATCGCTACGCAAATGTTAGCGGAATACGATGGTTTGCCAGTGATTCTAAAGTATCTTCAAAAAGGAACGCCAACTTTAAGCGAAGATTCGTTTTCTAGAGTCCTGCATATTTTAAACATGGTTTCAGTCCACCCTGAACATAAAAAGGCGATCATAAACGATGAAATTTTTAAATTAATTTTATCGCATTTAAGCAACACTTATGCGGATGTAAGAGCGGCTGCCGTAGAAATCGTAACGAATTTCGTTCCTTTGGAGCCATTCAGAGAATTTTTTCTTAATTCAAGTGGTCCAGCGTATATTTTGGAGGTGCTGCAAAATGCTACATGCTTGGATTATATTAAGGCGCTTTTGGTTTTCATTCATAGCATTTTGATTTATAAAAACGTGGCTGAGGCCTTTTTACACAATAAAATTTTAGCTGTGTTGAAAGGATTACCAAAACATATCGCCGTTAAAACACCGTTAGCTGATCAAATCTTAAAGTTAATCTACACCTTGTATTTGCCTGTGAAGTTCTTCGAGTTGGGTAGACTGGATGTAATGGATAAACTCAAGAATAGGTTTTATGTTGTCACAGGGAATTGGACGTATGATATACCTTTTTTGGAGATATACGAAGCGCAAGCGAAGTGTCCTAGAAATACCGTGTATGTGGTGAATTATTCTGCTGCTAAACATTTCGATATGGTTGATAGTAATGAAAGCCTGTTTGATGAAAGCGACAAGCAGGAAGGAAGCATTACAACTGTAGAGTTGGTGAAAACGGTGTCTGATTACACTATAGACTATGGGCACATTTCAAACGATCCGTTTTTGCCTAGGTACATAAACCACATACAACAATACTTCACCGAAGATACATGCTTAAGCCATAAAGTTAGACTACTTGCTGAATATGTGGATACTTTACTTTGCGGTCCGAAAGAGGACTACATACCATCGCAAAAACTGCACACTTTTAAATTCCACATTCAAGCTTTGAAAGAAAAACTGGGCAACAACATAATACCCATAGGCTTCCTCAGGTTGGGCTTTCACTGCGAAAAAGCTCTGCTTTTTAAAGCGATAGCCGATAAGGTTTCAATCCCGACCACATTGGTTCGCGGTCGGGGTAACATTTATTGGAACGAGGTGGCCCTCATGAGGGAATACAACGTCGAGTGCATTCAGTCGGGATTCTGCGGGAATTTGGAGATGTTCGTTGTGGATTTAATGAGCGAAATTGGAAAATTGTTGCCAATCGGAAGCAGGGACGCCAATGCATATTGTAGAATATTTTGTTAGGAATTTACCGGCAACTGTTGCGGTTTTCATTAATAATAAATAATAATTAATGTTTGATAAATACAATGAGGAATGCTTTGGAAAAGTAATTATATTTTTGATCATAAATATTGTTGTTTTAATTAAATTTACCGAAGAATGGAGCATACAATGTAGTGTGGAATATTTTATAGCAAATAAGGAAAGCCCGAAATGCGGTATGAGGTTGGAAAGATTAAAAGGGGTTAGAGCTGAAAAGTTAAATTAGGTTCAAATGCGTAGTATTATTTGAAATTTGTTTATCGTGGAAACCAAGTAAATACACTGTTATTAAAATAAGAATTATTGAAATAGGATTTTGTTATTAAATCTACAAAATATCGTTTCTATCTAAGACAAAAAAAATGGGTCACAGTGTATAAAAAAATTATAAATTGTAAATATTATTTTTATTAATTATAATTAGGGATGGGATTTTAGTTATTTTACCTTTTTTCAGCCGATGTAACTATTTGAAAACCAATAATGCCAAAATGTGTTTTAAAAGATTTTCTTTTATATGAACCTAACTTGTTTTCACCTTTTTTAGCTTTTTTGGAGGTTTTTGCTTTAAACTACCTTTTTATACTTTTGTTGCATATTTTTTAATTTGTCAGTTTATTTTCACCTATTTGATACCTATTTTTACGTATTTTTACTTATTTTATTTTTTTGTGCTCTTTATAAATTTTGCGCCAATATTATATCCAGGGCGTGCAACTCAACGTTATAGAATTTTTTCTTATGGTCACAGACTGTAACATTAACATTCTTTAGTTACCTTCTTTGTAGTGTGCTTATGTTTTGTCATAGAACTTATGTGTAGTGAGTGTCACTCAGTGAAACACATGCATATAAATAGTTTATTGTGGGTATGTTCTGTGTTTGGGTATGCGGCTAAACAAAATTATAAACGAAACTTAAACTTTTAATGTTTTTTTTACCTAAAATGCTGTTTTTTTTAACCTAAAATGCTTTTTTAGTACCTTTTTAGTTACCTATTTTTTAGTTTTTAGTACCTAAATATCCCATCTTTAATTATAATAATAAGCAAAAATTATTGTAAACAAAAAAATACATAAATGGGTGAATATATTGAGATGTCCCCCAAGTGAAAATGATTATTTTTTATTTTTGGTTATTTTACTGTTAGTCTAGAATGGGGTTTTTGGGAAGCCACCAGGTCTAGTAATAACATAACATAAGTGGTTCTGCAGTAATGCAAGAATTTTAAGAAATCATACATTTTGAATATTAGAGCTTCACGGAAGATAGCTTCAAGGAGGTTAGGATTTCGTATGTTTTTTAAAAATACAATTGTACATACATAAAAGATTTATAAAAAAATCTACTTACTGAGATATTACACTTCACGGTGGATAGGTTTTTAAATAGCAAATTAATGAACCTAAACTTTTTAATTATAAAACAGCAACACTCTCATCTGCATATAAATTCTAAATGACCTTCAGGAATCACATTCATCTATAATGTCGTAAACAGAGGTTTTTGCTTATTTAAAATGATTAAAGCGCCATTCGTTGCATAAAATTTAAAGCAAAAACAGATTCACGGAGGATAGAATCACATACATAAATGGTTATAAAAATTATTTCTCTTAATTTTTAATAATATTTTATATTTGATTCGATATTTGAAAACATAGGTTAACCTAGAAAGATTAACAGTCACGGAGGATAGGTTTTAGACTTTTAAAACATTGTAAAAACTCGTGTGATATGAAATATTTACGCTTCGTATAGAGATATCGACTTTAAAGCGCGACATGAAAGCATCGGGAGTATTTTAGCGTGGAAAAATATCAATTGGGGCCGACAAAGATTAAAAATGGAACGTGATAGGGATGCAAACGGTGACCGTAAATCTTTTGTAATTCTTACACAAGCAGCCCGCTCTGCGCCAAAATCTTCGCTACAGCCACTAAACCAAATAAATGGATCCCAGAATCCTTTGACTTTATCTCGAGGAAATAAAAAAATCGAACTCGTGTCTCATAATTTTACAGACAAGAAAGATTCGGATCATTTGACTAAAAATAGGTATATTTTGTCTAAATAGTTATTTATTTCATTAGGTTAAGAAGTAAGGCTTTTTGTGCTAAGCTCAAGGTTTGAAGGCCGACGCGTAGCGGAGGCCTACAATTGAGCGAAGCACAAAAAGGCACTTCTTGGCCGAATGGCATACAACATTTTATCTTCAAAGCACTTTATATAGGTCAATTTAATTCAACATCAAAGCGGCCTAACCTCACTTTTTTAGAATCTCATTTATTTATTAGCTAAAGATTACATTAAATGTACAATAATTATTATTGCCTTTAGAAGCAGTAATAGTTTGAGAATACCTAGCTACATGATTTAAGTAGAAATGGATTTTTGCTATTACATTGAATTCAATTAATTGTTTAATAAATAGGTAGGTAGGTATCTAATTTCAATTTGTTTGGATTTTTATTTAAAAAATAGGTAGTTTGGAATGTTTAAGCTGTGTTTAACATTTAATTTCACTGAAAACTTAAAGCAAATCAAAACGTAAAGATAATTTAAATCGTAGAAAAAGAATCGTGCGTTTTCTTGGTTGCCTAACCTCACTTTTTGTTTTATTATTCATATTTAATTTTACAATAATTTAATAAAAAATATTAAACATTAACAGTAAAACAAACAAATTAGTGCTTATTATAAATAAATTAAACCAGTTTAGTACGTTAATTTCTTAGAAAACGATTAATTTGTCAAAACAATACCCCTAGCGAGAAAAATCGAACTAATTACTTGCCTCATAAAAATTTTTATCGGCCTAACAAGGTATTTTTTTATCGAATGTTGACAACAATAAAGTTTAAATTATAGACCGCGTGGAGATAAACATTTTTTCATATTTGTAATAGATAGCGCTGTAATGAAAAAAAAAAACAATTTTGTTCGATTTTTCTTCTTATACGATTCTGCAATAATTTTTCTATAAAAATATCACTTTTTTTGGTAATAATAATCTTATTAAATTAAATCTGATTTTTTTAAGTACCCACGAATTTTTAACTAATATTTAAGTTTCCTTTGGTTTATGTTTTATACATTATTTCATTGGGTGATAATTATAAATTGCGCACCATGGTCACTTTTTACCTGCCAGCATTAAATCCTTTAATTTAAAGGATTATTGTACTATTTCTAATAAAAATACCTCATAATGTAAAAAAAAAACATTATTTTGTAAATTAATTCATTTAATCCTAAATGAGGTATAAAAAAATGGTATTTTGTTATAAATAATAATCATTATTGAGTTATAAAGAAACTATTTATAGTTTAGCATTATTTAATCAATTTAGTTCGAAGATTAATTTGCAAACTAAAGACCTCCTTTCGTTAAGCAGTTATTCATAATGGATTTTTTAACAATGGAAGAAAAAATAGAAATGCTTTTGATTTATGGAGAAGCAGGCAGGAATCTTGATGATGCTGTTAATATCTACGCTCAGCGTTTTCCGGATAAAATTCGATCACGTACTTCATTTCACCGTACAGTCAAGCAGTTTACTACAAACGGGAGTGTCCAACCGAAAAAAAGAGTTCGTCGAGCAACAGTCACAATTGGAAATAATGAAATTAATGTATTAGCAGTATTAGTTAAACTATTAATAAAAGGGTTTCAAATTTCATACGTCTGCAGTTTAAGTTTTAAGTTACAAAGGCGAAATGGAAATGGATAAATATGCTTCGCGTTATGGGCGGAAAATAAAAAGATACAACAAAAAGGTGCGCTGAATTATGGCCCACATTATTTACCTCCAAAGTTCATATGTATTGATCTTATTGTGCAATTTTATAGCAAGAATGTCCATTGCCAAACAACTATTTGCTGAAATATATGGATTGAATTTTCCATTGCGAATAAAAGTTGTTATTTTATCTTTTCGTTTTGTACAGGGTGATCCCCTATAATGTCGCCCCCCTTTAACTTTTTATTTTAAGTGTCCCAAAAAAATTAAAAGTGTGGTTATGTAGGAACTAAAAATACTTTTTTTCTACGTATAAAGAATATTGGAAAATTGATCAATATACAGGGAAAAACAAAAAGTTAATTTTTTTTTCAATGGATCACCCTATATATGAATTTATTTTTCGATTCCTTGTAAAATTCTAAGCATATTTCATATATCATACCATATACCTAAATTCAACCGTTTCTGAAATATTTAAATTATTTTTAAGATAGTAAGTTGAAATAGTTTCTCTGTCTGCGTACGCCATTTTTACTTATTTAACAACACTTATTGACATAATGTCACTATAGTAATTTATTTTCAATAAAAATTTTGGTATACTGAGTCTTCTTGATTTTTAACAGTTTAAAAAAACATATAATGATGACATTTCGAATGCGAATATTTCAGAAACGGTTGAGTTTAGGTATATGGTTTGTATATAAATTACGCTCAGAATTTTACAAGGAATCGAAAAATAGATTCAAATATAGGGTGATCCATTGAAAAAAAATAAACTTTTTGTTTTTCCCTGTATACTGATCAATTTTCCAATTTTCTTTATATATATATAATTTTCTTTATATATACGTATACGTATACGTATACGTAGAAAAAAAGTATTTTTTAGTTCCTACACAACCACACTTTTAAATTTTTTGGGACACTTAAAATAAAAAAGTAAAAGGAGGGCGACATTATAGGAGATCACCCTGTACAGGGCTTAAACCCCCAAAACCCTCACAAAATTATTTTTAACATACCTATTTATTTGTTTAATATTACACCCCTGTTCCTCATAAATCATCAGCACGTCGTAATTGTTATTTCATATTCAATTATTTCATCATCAGTTTTGGTGGGTTCCATATTTCATTCATTTCATTTTCCATTAACGAGCTTTAATAAGATTTAAATCAAATTAAATCCCAAATTAATCGCGACTTAAGATTTAATTACGATTTACGTATCA